TTTTGGAAAGAATGCACTGATAAGCTAGGGTATACGGTTTTTGGCTGCCATGTGGCTATTTCACCAGGATATGATTTTATCAATGGTGTCCAGCTTTACCAATGTTAAAATCTGGTCACCTTAGGTTAGCAGGCCTTCCAAAAAGAAGTTATTTCTTGTGCCATGGCAAAAAATAAATTTTTAATAAAACCCAAGTGAACATCTTCCAAAATCATTGAAGCTTTGCAAAATGGTTAAGGGAATGTCGCTCCACACAAAAGGACAGTTTTTAAATGGGGCAATCATTTTCAGGAAACTCGGGAGGACTTAAAAGACAAAGTCAAGACAGAAGGGTCATATCAGAAGCTTATGGTGTCTGTGCTTTGGAATCCCAAAGGAGTAACTTAAAAGACTTTTCCAAATAGCTCAGGAAAATCACTGGGACTTACTAGGAAGATATTTTAAGAAAATTGAAAATTGCATTGGCGATTTTTTTTTTTTAAAGACTAGAAAAGTTGTGCTGAGGAACCATTATCCATCGTGACAGTGAACCCGATCATTCTTCCTGGGGAGCAAGAACTGTCTTATGAGAATTTCCTCTGGAAATCCTGTCCCAACCCCCCTACTGTCCTGATCTTGCTCCTTGGGATTGTTTTCCCAGAACCCCAAAGAATATTAAGATGGAACACAATTATTTGAGTGTTGGATGGTAAACCAGAAAGATGCCCAAACTGCTGTTTTGTATGATACAAATTAACACAGAAGGTTAGAAAGAGGGGAATACCACCTTTGTAACTTTAGACGTGAATAGTCCTAGATGGAAGATATGTGCAAAAATAATGGTTTCACATTGGGATTTTTGTTGTTGTTTAATAGAGGTTTCCATGATTTTGTAGCAGTACAGGTTTTTATTTCCCCTTTGTGTTAAGCCAGGTTGACTAGAGAAACAAATCCAGGGACACTGATATATGTATAATAGAGACCTTTATATGAAAGAGTAATTGTATATTGAGAAAACATACCAGCTCAGTCCAGATCAAGTCCACAAGTCTGATATCAGCCCATATGTCCGATACTAGTCTATAAATTCCTCTTGAGACTCACACAGCCACTCACAATGATGCTGAAAGCATAAAGATCACAGGCCAGTAGGTGAAAAGGCTTGTGGAGCCAGTGGCAGTGGAAGAATCTCAGCACTGTGCAAGTTTCCACTTGGCTCCTCCACAGGAAGGTAAACCAGAGAGAAAGTGGCCACCTCCAGGGAGAAAGAGAAGAAACTCCCAGGAAAACCAAGGCAGAGAGAGAGAGGAAGTTCCCAGAATCTTCATGAGAAGCCATGACTGCACAGAGGCATCAGTTGTGACCTGATTGACAGGCTAGACTCGGGTCCTTCACTCTTAATACGCTCAAACTGACCTGAGAGTTTGTAACTACCACACCCTCGTATTTGAATTATAATTGATTATAAAAGTTTAAATCTAAAAATAGCTCAGGTCATATCAGGTCTTTAGAAAGACTTAGATAAAATGATCAGATTTAGAGAAACAGTGATGACAACATAATTGTGCAGTTATCTTCCGACTTCCCACTTTTCTTTGGTTTGTTTGGACTCTTCTAGGACCTCATAAATTTCTCTAGCACTCTTTTTTTATTGAAATAACTATTACTAGTCAATATCATTGAACATTTGCTGGGTAGATGTTAAGATAAAGGAATATAAAGCTTAAGAAACAGGGTAGCCAGCTATAAGGTTACATGCAAATTATGAGCATTGAACTAAATGTATCTGCTATGTCTGAGACACTGAGCCAGGAGATTTTGAGACATGTCAAAGATGTCATCCTTAGGCCACAGCATGAACAACTTGATGTAAAGGGTACCTCAAACCAAAACCCAAAAAGCTGTCATCCAGTCAGTTCATTTCCAAGACAGTAAATCTTTACAGGAACCATAAGCCGGTAGTGGTTTTGAACTAACGACCTTTCAGTTAGCAGCTCAAGGCCTATTCACCAGCCAGTCCACCCTGCAAAATGCTGTACCAGTAAATTACGAAAGAGCTCAAAGACCACGTGACTACAAAGGTTGACAAAAGACTTCAGGTTCATTAGACTTTGAGAGCTGTCCAGAAATACCTGAGATTTACATGTGCAAATGACCCTTCTTTTACGGTTTAAAGGTTGTGTTTTCACAACTCTTCAGAAATATGAGAAGAGATTCATAAAACCATGAGTGGGAAGAAAACACAGCATTCTTAGACTCTAACAGAGAAAATCGAAGCTCCAGAAATTCAAGAAAGAATAGAGAACTTCTACTTTGTAACCTTGAACCATTTTTCCCAAAGCCTTTTCCTAAACTCCCTTAAACGCTTTTCCCACAGATCATTGTGCAGTCACCACAGGTGGTTCTCAACAATGTCCAAGATGCTTTATTAAACGCGCCTTTCTCTCCATTGTTTAAAATATTTTAAACAAATGCTATAGGGTACATTTAGAAGATGGTTATAGGACTCCCTGCTTCTGGAGCAAAATGCATCTGAAACCGATGACACAGGGTTCTCGGATCCTGCTATTACGTCATCATTTCAGCGAAGATAAAACACTTGCTTGTCTTGAGACCGTAAACCAGAAATCCTCGCGCCGTCATTTCGTTAACTAATATGTGCATGAGGCTTTGCACAGGCACGGGGTCCAAAACGTGGGGGAAAGCGGGAAAGGCCAGCAGTCCACTCGGCAGAGCCTCCGGCAGAGCGTGACGTCCGCCCGCTCCGCCAGTTGCAGGGGGGCGCCCCGGTGCATTGTGGACTTCCGCGGGGATTGTGGGAAATGTAGTTTAGAGACTCCGCCCTCCCCGCCATTCCTGTCATGGCTGCTTCCAGGAAGGTAATGTATAAACTCATCTCCAAAGGGTAGATTGCCACAGTGATTTTGCGAACAGGGGGCACTTTTGCACTTTGCCTCCCAAAACGGGCCTTCCTTTTCACGTCCGTACGTCAAATGGTGGAGCGAGTTTGTCTCTCGGTTCGCTGTAGTTCAGCTTTTACCCTGTGGGCGAGCTAACCAACTTTCCGTCTCGTTCTTTCCTCGGACATCCTCTCTTCTCCCTACCTCGCCCGCCCAGTTCAGCCAG